CAGACACAGATTCCAAAGCTCAAGAGCCACAGGCAGGCATGTTCCCAATGTATTAGGGCAGGTGACAGGACATGTCCATCACTGCAGAAAGTTCTAACCCACAGCGCTGGCCGAGAGCATAAAACCCACGCCCCTCAAACTAACCCTCAAGACTGCCTGTCCCTTAGAGCCAGCCCACACCCCCCAAATCTCCTTACTTCCCCTAAACACCAACTCTTAGCTTTGTCCAGACCAGGCTCTCCACTTCCTCCAACAAAGCGTGCTCAGTCCAGACTCTGTGCCTATGTCATCGGATTCCCCACCCCCAAAACCAATCAATTCGCAGTCCCCGAAGGAGTGGGATTTTCCGCCGAGCCAGAAAGCAACGAGGCATCCATAAAATTCGTATCCCAGCAAAATCCTCTTGCTAATGAACGAGTTCAAGAAAAGGCCTTTTCCCCAGAAGACTGTAATGAGCTTTGGGCTCGTCAGCACTTGCTAGCGGATTCTGCGAAATGCCACTTGCTTTGGCACTTAATACCAATTTGAGTCATTACGTAATTTTTTCATGTGGGTCTTTTTTACCTTAAACCAACCATATGGTCATAGAGGGCGGGGACCAGGTCCCATGTGCCTTTCTTTGGCATCTTCTGCTCTTCCTACCTCACGTCTTTCCTCCAACAATGGAGAGGCTGCAGACTGGCCCTCGTGTGAAGGTCAGACGTGACGGGCAGTGTGTTGCTTTACCCAGAGTGTACGTCTGAAAAATTCTGAACCAGTTGCCAACCTTGAAAAATAGGGAGATGTTCCATCAGAGTGCACATTTTAGTTTCTCAGAAATCAGCATGCCTGGGCAAGCACTCATGCTTGGCTCTACTGGACAGCGCCGAGTGCCACCTGCCCGTTTAAAGAAAGACGTATTCTCCTGCTGACCCCTTTCCCTGGGGTATTCCCCTCCTGTCACCTGTGTGGCCTCTGCAGGCATTTGCGTTTACAACCCTGTTGGGAGATACTCCATAAATGAGCTAAGGATGGAAATAGTACACTTTGTAAAGACAGCCAAGTGGCCTTAGCGCCCGCCTTCATGGGCACCACGCTTGCTGGAAGCAGGTCAAGTCGAAGTTCTTATTTTGGCTGTTCGCTCAAGACAGGAGCCTCCTCCACTGATTTTAGTGATTCTCCTTCGGCTACTGAGAACGGATCGTGGATTAGGAAAACGGTCAGCAGAAAGAACAGAAAGTAACAGCTTCCATAATCACGCGCAGATAAGACTCAGAGGAGCGCGCTGTCCCAGGAACCCTGAGTGTTCCCTACAAACATGTGGAAATCCCGGCCCTCATGATGCTGAGTGCGGCTGGCAGCTGTCCAGAGAAACTGGGGCTCGGCTAAGGAAGCCCAAGCCTCCTTGTTAACTCTGACCCACAGTGATCTCTCCTCCTTTGAACCCTTTATTACAGACTACGGGGTTCTAAAGTTGTTTTCATGTCTTGTCCCTCCCACTTAACTGTAAGTTCATATAAACTCCTTTGATACCCTTCCCCTGTCCAGTACATAAGGTCAGGAGGTCGTCCACAAGGACTCCCTTCAGTCAGAGGCAAAAACCCAATGGGTCATCAAAGCTCCTCATGAAAAAGGTGTATCCCTCGTGGTCAGGCCTCCTGGACTGGGAAAGCAACGTAACTTTCAAGTATTTGCATTAGGGACAATTCTTAATGAAATCCAAGGTGGCCTTGAGGACACTTGGCTAGTCTTTTAGTTACCTTCCCGGTTGTCTGTCATTTGCATATTGGCCCAGCACAAATCTCACATCTTCATGAAGGTCATGGGTCAAAAATATGAAGCTACACACGGTCAACTCAGGCACCATGCTGGTTGAGACAAGGGGACGGGAAGCAAAACCGCCTTTTGCTGGAAACGTTAGTCCGACCAGGTACAAGCCCACCACTGATAATACTCAGTCCCTATTTCTCCACCGTGTCTGACCCACAAGAATGGTCCTGGTGCCCTTAAATCAAAATTCATTAAATTTGAGAATTCTCTTTATCTGTGACTAATGACTCTCATAATAGAAAATGTAGTTAATTTGACATAAACTGTATCTTTATGAACCTCTGCAGGTTTGTAAAAGACACGTGTTTCCTCTCTGAATGTACATAAACCATATGCTGACTAACCCGTGCTCAAGTCAGGCTGAGCACCAGACCCACACCTGGTTTCCAGAATGTTCTTTCTCCTCATTGCTGAAAAGAGGGATGACACTTGCTTATCTCCTGCTTTTTGCTAAGTCCTCCATTGTCCCGATTTTTCAAAACTCACACTCTGGTTTCTCTATCCTAGCTGCAAGGTCTTTCCTTTGGGAAACGGCTCACCTGGGCCTAGAAACAAACACATTTCCAACAGCTGGTGCCACTCTCCTCCCCTCTGGTTAACTCCATGACGGATACCTCCAGTTTGAAGGTTGCTTTCGCTTCATGAAGACTTAAATTGAGTAGTTCAGCTGAGCTGTTTGCTGTGTAAAAACAACACTTTCTCTGCGCAGTCCCTTCTTCCCCCTCTGCACATCAACACCGTATTTATGGAGGACTAAAGACTCAAGCACTAGACTGACTTTTTGGTGCTTTTCTCAGAGACGCGAAACACCTCTGCCTCCATTCTTATCTTCCTCTTAAGATCAAAGATCACAGAAGGGCCACCACTCTTTAAATACTAATAAAATAAACCATTGGTGTTTTCTGTCAGGTTGAAATAATAAAAAAATAAAATAAAATAAATTTATTAAAATAATAATAATAAAATAATAATAAAACAAACCATTGGTGTTTTCTGTCAAGTTCCCTGCCTCTTCTCTCATTTATTGGATTGGAGTTATTTGCAATCTTAATATCCGATTTTTAGTTCTTACAACCTTACCAATACTGCAGAGTGAAATACACTATAGAGGTGTTGATCACAGAATCATGTGTCTTACTGAACACCTGGCTTGACTAATCTGGGGACAAGACAAACCGAGAAAACTCCAAGATCTCACAGTCCCATTCCTTGTGTTACTTCACTAAGGAAGTCCTGGGGGTCAGAGGTCAAAAACCACCTCGCATCGGGATGGGGACTGAGAAAACCACCCAAAACAGATAGGAAACAGTTGAAGACTCCATTTACAAGGAGTCTTGGGTAAATGGGTTGGGATTTGGTTTTCTACCTGAGTCTACAAATAAGTACCAGTCCACCTTGCCTGTGGCCAGATTGACACATTTTAGACCCTGTCACGGGACACTGCTGAGCTCTTGAATCTTCCCCCACTCTGCCCCGCCCACATCACGGCTTCAGATGGCAACTCCCTGGTTGTGTTTCTCTGTGTGGCTGAGCAGGAAAGTCGGGAGAAAAGATTTATCAGGAAAACAGGCAGCGTCTCCAAATCCTGTTAATTCCCTGACCCGAACGGACACATGGTTGGATCAGACGGTCCATGCACTCTACGACAACAGGTCTTGCTATCCATGAAGGAGTAAAAGGCAAACGGGAAAGTTAAGATAGAGAACCACCCTTCCATACACGAACCTCCTACTCCCAAGACGGAAGGAGGGCAAGGACTTTTAGAAGTAAAATGCACAGTCCATTTAAAAGCAGGAGCAGTGGTGCCTGAGAAGGCAGACGCCCCTGTAATGCGTCCACACAGAAGCCTCCTCGCCAGGAGCAAGGAAATTACCAAAGTCAAAGAACGACAAGGTGAGATACCCTGGAAAGGCTGGAAGGGGATTTTTGTGAAATGGGCTTAAGATACAGAATCTGAGGGGCGCCTGGGTGGCTCAGTGGGTTAAAGCCTCTGCCTTCGGCTCAGGTCATGGTCCCAGGGTCCTGGGATCGAGCCCCGCATCAGACTCTCTGCTCAGTGGGGAGCCTGCTTCCCCACCCCCCTCTGCCTGCCTCTCTGCCTGCTTGTGATCTCTCTCTCTGTCAAATAAATAAATAAATAATCTAAAAAAAAAAAAAGATACAGAATCTGAGAGGCTTAGAAAGGGATGGGACAGAATTTCACATTCGGTTTTTTTTTTTTTCCCCCAAAATAAAAAGGGAAAAATGTGTAAAATTTTGGAGGGAAGTAGCAAGTCTATGAAAAGATTCTTATACGGGGGGTGCGCCTGGGTGGTTCAGCTCATTAAGCATCTGCCTCCAGTTCAGGTCACGATCCCAGGGTCTTGGGATCAAGCCTCGCACGGGACTCCCTGCTCAGTGTGGAGTCTGCTTCCCCCTCTGCCGATGCCCCTCCCCCGGCTTGAGCTCTCTCTTCCTCTCTCTCCGAAAAATAAAATCTTAGAAAAAATGATTCACACACTGGACAGAGCACACCGTCCACATAAGGGCCTTCTTCTTAGGAATAAGAAGAGTTTTTGAATAACTCCCTCCTGTCGATTTTTTATAGCACAGTAACTACGGTAGGTAAGCAGAAACATGCCCCCCACCCCCACAACAATGTCCCTGTCCTAATCATTACAATCCACAAAAATGTTATATGGCGAGGCGGAGTTCAGGCTGCCAAAGAAATTAAGGTTGCTAACCAGCTGATTTTAAAAAACCAAGGGATGCTTCTGGATTATCTAGAAGGGCTCCGGTTATCACAGGCATCCTTCAAAGCGTCAGAGCCATACAGCCTGAGAAAGATTCAGCTGGTCTCTGCAGGCTTTGGAACTGGAAGGGAATCCTGAGACAGGCAATGCAGGCAGTCTGGAGAAGCTGGAGAAGACAAGGGAACAGACTCTCTCCTAGAACCTCCAGGAAGGACCGCAGCCCTGTAGACACCCAGATCCCAGCCCAAGACCTGTGTCAGCCTCGGGACTACAGGACGCTGCATCTGTGTCATCGGAACCATGGCATGTGTAGTAATTTGGGAGAGAACAAGAAACTAAGGCAGTAACTTACACGCGACCGCTTTACAGGGAGAGAAGGCCTAGGAGAGATTAACATTCCAGGCAATGAAAGCGTTCCCTTTTTCTGAGCGGAAGAAAGAAAACAAAACCATCACTCACCTTTTTATAAGTTTTTTCTTCATTCTGTTTTCCGGGTGCGGCATCTCCATTTTCAGCAGCAGACGACATCTGTAAGAGCAAAATGGACCCCTGTGAATTTCCAACTCTGCCCTGAACTACCACAGGCTAATAACATTGTTAACTGGAGAATCCAGTTTGGTTCATTATGTTTTTGTGTCTATTGCTGCTGTTTCCAAGAAATGAAGAGATTTCTCAGAATCAAAAAAAAAAAAAAAAAAAAAAAAAAAACCTGTGTCCCTCAATCTTTCTGAAAGAAATCTTTACCTCTAAGTCATTTTGGTTGTACACTGTACTGGCCCCCATGTGCTCTCACAAAGGCGGGATGGAAGTCTCAGCCCACATCATGGGTACAAGTTTCTTCCTATAAAGTCTTTAAAAAAAAATCAACAACGAACTTTCTTCTAATTAAAGATGCTTCCTATAAAAGCATTTGGAAAGTACCAAAAATTATAAATCATAACAAAAGAAGTACTCAATTCTACTGTCCTTGGGTAACTCCACGCTTCACATTTGGGCAAATTTATTTCCACCTTTTCGTCCATGCACGACTCTACTAAAAGTATTAGGATCCCATCTCGACCCTGCAGTTTTCAATGAACATTGATAGAATATGCCTTTTCCCACTTGATTATCAGCATTTCATTGTTAAGAATACTGATTTTTTTTTCTAGTTGCAAGAGACACTGTTGTGTGAACACAACTGTGTATTAATAAGTCAGTTAATAATGCTAATGTTAGTACTGAACACTACATCTGAAACTAATGATGTATACTATGTTGGCTAATTGATTTAAGTTTTAAAAAAATAATGCTAATATTAAAGGATGGGGAGGTGGCCCAAGGGATTTGCTTCTACAAATGATACAACACTTACTATTTTGTGCTTCTATTTTTGTCTAGTGTCAACATTTTCTTAGATTTCTAGAATTATAAGGTCATTAGAAAAACGTATGAGTAAATTTCTTTCCAAGAATATACCCATTCATACTATTATGTGACTGGGAGCTCATTTCATTACATGTTTAGCCGTATTATTTTAATCACCTTTGCTAATTTCATAAGTGAATGAAAGTATCTCTTGGTATTAATGTGCACTTCTAAAAATTACTGGTGATGATTAACATGGCTGGCATATATTTTTTGAGCTCCTGTGTTTCTTCTGAGTTTTCTATTACTATTTCCATTTATCTATGGGGCTCTTCGTGTTTTAGTTATTGAGTTTTACCTATTATGTTACTATTACTAGTGCTTTTCTTACTGATTTTTATGTATCGAGGTAACTAATCAGCCTGCAACCACCTTATTCATGTTTTCCACGTTGCTGTCTTTCATAATGATGACACATAAAAGTTCTACATTTTTCATACTCAACACTATTGATTACCTTTCTGATTTCTTCCAATGTTTTAGAGCAAATATTTTTTTTCCATTGGGATGTATCAGATTTTCAGACACATTCCTTTCCCCTCTTAATGCTAAGATTTTTAAACTTAACTATGAATTCACCTGAATTTTTAAAGCCAGTTACATATACTGCAAACAAGGATAACTACATAATCAGGAAACCATGACATTTAATAAGGGTCTTTTTTTTTTTTTAATTTTTTTTGTTTGTTTTTTGAGAGAGAGCAAGAGAGCACAAGCAAAAGGGGCACAGGGAAAGGCAGACTCTCAAGCAGGCTCTGTGCGGAGCCCCACGTGGGGCTCAGTCCCATGACCCCGAGATCATGACCCGAGTGGAAACCAAGAGTTAGAGGCTCAACTGACTGAGCACTCAGGTGCCCCAAGGGTGTCATCTTAAGTTGCACGAAGCTCATTCATTACACCGAGGAGGGGTAACTTCTGAGTTTCTTGTAAGACTTTGAAGCACATGTTATTTTGTTTCCATGTTATTTTGTTTCATCTTTTTTAATAAGAGAATTTTTTAACCGAGGTATCATCGACACAATGTTACATTAGTTTCAGGCGTGCAGCACTGTGATTTGACAAGTCTGTAGGTTCTGCTGTGTTCACCGCCAGGGCAGCTACCAGCTGTCACCAGAGAACACTGTCCCAGCACCACCGACTTTATTCTTCATGCTGTGCCCTTTACACCGGAACTTACCCCGTCACCGGAAGCCCGTATATCCCGCTCCCCTTCACCCACCTTACCCACCACACCCCCAGCCCTTCCCCTCTGGCAACCAGCAGCTTCTTCTCTGAGTTCATGGGTCGGCTTCTGCTTTTCTTTATTCATCTGTTTTTTAATTCTCCATATAGGGGGAAGTCATTTGGAGTTTGTCTTTCTCTGACTGACTTATTTCACTTTGCATAATGCCCTCTAGGTCCAGCCGTGGTGTCACAAATGGCAACATCTCATCCCTTCTTACGGCCAAGTAAGAGTGTGTGTGTGCGCACACGTGCACACTTGCGTGTGTACCACATCTACTTTATCCATTCATCTACTGATGAACACTTGGGTTGCAGAAGAACATTTTAAATCTTGGGATTTTAATAGTTACAGTAGATGTAAATCTAAGAATTTGCTAGCCATTTTGGGGTGCCTTGGTGGCTCAGTCGGTTAAGCATCTGACTCTTGATCTTGGCTCAGGTCATGAACCTTGGGCTCCTGAGAACAAGCCCCATGCTGGGCTTGGAGCTGGTCACAGAGTCTGCTTAAGATTCTCTCTCTCCCTCTCCCTCTGCCCCACCCCCACTGTGAGCACACGTGATCTTTAAAAATAAAAAAAGAATTTGCCAGCCATTCCCCTGCACTGGAACTGAATGATTGCCATGAGCTTGACAGGACTAAAAGTCATCAAAGAAAATTAAAGAATGGAACATGGAAACCTCACCAGACCCATTACTCCCTGCCCATCAAAGCATTCTCTTAGATAAATTAACATTTCCATTTGTGTCCGTGTAACTAGCTGGGTTATAATCTGTCCATTATAGTACAGACAGGTTCTACCTGCTATAGTTTCCCACACTGTATCTGCTTAATATATTTTAAAAATAACTGATTTTCTAATTTCTTCATAATATTTTGGTGAGGTTTGAATACCATATTAGTGGAATTATAAAATCTGAAAGGTCTAGTAATAACAGTCTCAGTATAAAAAACCAAACCTGATCGTGCCCCTGCAAAAGCTCCAATTACATCATTACTTTAAGAGTATCTAGGTTGGGGCGCCTGCGTGGCTCAGTGGTTAAGCCTCTGCCTTCGGCTCAGGTCATGAACTCAGGGTCCTGGGATTGAGCCCCGCATCGGGCTCTCTGCTCAGCAGTGAGCCTGCTTCCTCCTCTCTCTGCCTGCCTCTCTGCCTACTTGTGATCTCTCTCTCTCTGTCAAATAAATAAATAAAATCTTAAAAAAAAAAAAAAAGAATGTCTAGGTAAATGGGGCACCCGGGTGGCTCAGTCGGTTAAGTACCTCACTCTTCATTTCAGCTTAGGTCACGATTTCAGGGTCCTGGGCTTGAGCCCTGTGTCGGGCTCTGTGCTTGGTGTGGAGTCTGCTTGAGGATTCTCTCTCTCCCTCTCCCTCTGCCCCCTCCCTGCTCACTCTCTCTTTCTCTCTGTAAACTACATAAATCTTAAAAAAAAGAATATATAGGTATTTATCTGATAACAGATCCCTGAATAGGCCAAGATCTGGATAACCATGAAAGTTATCGAAGAAATAAAAACGTAATTGATTTGCCTATTCACAATTCTCAACTTCTCGATGTCAAACTAGATTGTGAACAAATGAAAAGGCAAGCAACAGGTGGAAAAACTGGCAATGAACGTAGCAGAAGTTAACCATAAAGCATGAAAGCTTGTCTGAATTGTGCAGAGCCTGTCACATGCCTAAGGGCATCACTCCTACAGGTCTCCCTTTTCTCGTGTCAGCTTCAATCTTCCACTCTATTTCATTCCCATCAGGGTTCCACCGTTTCTTCCACCTTAAAAAATAGAAGCCTTTTCTTGATTCCACTTCCCCCTCATTTCCTTATTCCTCCTTGTGGCAAAACTCCTTGGAAAAGATGTTGCTCCTCTCAAGCCCTGATTCCACTTCACATATTCTCTCTTTAATGCACTTTAATCAGGGGTTTGCTCTCACCGCTAACCTGAAAACCTCCTCCTCCAAATCACCAATTCCCTCCGTGTTGCCAAATCCAATGGCTAATTCTAAACCCCCATTGTGCCTGACCTATCAGATTATTGATAAAGATGATCACTCCCCCTTCCCTGACTGATTTTCTTTACTTGGCTTCTAGAGCCCAATAGTCCCTTGTTTCTTACCCACACCCTCCCTGTACCTCCTTGATCACTTCTCAGTCTCTTCAGATGGTTCCTCTTAATGTTGGAGTGTCCAAGACTGACTTCTTGGTTCTCGTCTCTATCCATACTCTCTCTGGAATTCCCAGTTACCACCCAGATCTCTCTTCTGAGCTCCAGACTTGCATAACCAATGGTCTTCTTGTTATCTCCACTTGGATATCTAACATAACAGACACCTCAAATTTTGCAAATCTAAAACCCTATTCCTGACATTCCTTCCCAAGCTTCCTTCACTTGGACCTTCCCCATCTCACTTAATGGCATCTCCAACCTCTTGCTTCTCAGGTCCCAAATACCGGAATCTTCCTTCTCTCTCTCTCTCTGTTTTTGTTGTTGTTGTTGTTGTTGTTGAAGATTTTATTCATTCATTTTAGAGAGATGGACAGAGAGAGCACAAGCAGGGGGAGAGGCAGAGGGAGAGGGAGAAGCAGACTCCCTGCCAAGAAGGGAGCCCAACATGGGGTTTGATCCCAGGACCTGGAAATCATGACCTGAGCTGAAGGCAGCCACTTAATCATTGGAGCCACCCAGGTGTGCTGAGTCTTCCTTCTCTTATACCATGGTCAACATGTCAGCACAGCCACTGAAAGATGTCCAGAATCCAGTCACCTGTCACCACTCCTGCTGTGCGTTCCTGGGCAGGGCCACCATCTTGTTATGTGTGAGTTATCCTTCATGACCTCCCAATGGGGCTTGATGCCACCCTTGCCCTCTGATAATCTACTCTCTGCTAGAGTGATCTATCATTAAACCTAATCAGATCATGCCACTTTGCCCTTAAGACCCCACAGTGGTTTCCCTTGACACCCAAAGTAAAAGCCAAAGTCTTACAGTGGTTGATGTGGCCCCACATGATTTTCCAATCCTCTTCTTATTCCTCCTCTGACCTCAGCACCTCTGAGCTCCCCCCCTTGCCTCTGCTTCAGACACTCTGCTGTTTCTCAAAGACACCAGAATGCAGCTAAATTAAGGCATTCTGCCTGAGCTATTCCCACTGGCTGAACAATCCTCCCCAGCCAGACACCTGCTTATCTCCTTCAGGTCTTGGCTCAAACGTCAACTTCTATCTGATGCTTAGCTTGAGGGTCCTATTTTAAACTACAACTTATTTGGCACTTCCCTGCCCCTATTTCCTCTTAACTCTCCTTAATCTTCCTTCTTTCCTCCCTCCCTCCCTCCCTTTTTAATCAAATGTACGACTGTTCATTATTTTTCAGTCATTTTAAAATTTAAAAGTAATGTTTAAATTAAAAAAAATATTTTTCTTCCCTAAGTAAAACAAATCCAGCTACCCACGAAGGGTAATTGTTAATATGTGGCTATTCTACCATTTGATCTTTTTCAAATGTGTGTTTTACTTTTTAACAAAACTGGGATCAGCCATTATATGCAAACTTGTACTTGCCCTTTCCACTTTGTCATAAACATTTTTCTGCATCACTAAATATTAATTAGAAAAAATGTCTAACATCTACATAATTCTATCATGAAAATGCAACACACTTTGGTACTTACTAGTGGGCACACAGGACGCTTCCTGCTTCTCTTTTATAAATAAAACTATTCTCTGTGTTCTTACATTTCCAACAGCAAGTCTCAAACAGCTGCCAGAGAATCTTATAATAATGTCTACTGGGTAAAATACACCTACTTTAGATCTCTACCAGCCACAAGTGTTTTCACTTAAAATCACATAAAACACTTGGCCAATTCTGGGCAAAAATATCATTTTATTTTGCATGTGTATGATTCATGGTAAGGACAGACATCTTTGCCATGTTTCTTTGGTTCTTTGTCTCTCTTCGGTGAATTCTGTCTATGAAGCTCTAGCCCATGTCTCTACTAGGGTATGCTTAGGTCTCCAACTTAGTAGGTGCCAAGGACAGTAAGAGTTGGCTTTTCTTTAACCAACTGTGGCACAGATGCAACAGAATGGAGATTTCCCTAATGAATGCCATGTCAGGCTTTCACTTTAAGACTTGGAAGCTTCGAAAACCAAAGAACTTCAACAGCAACTCAGAACGGTGCTTTGAAAAACCACCTTAGTGAGGGGGTGGCTCACTGGCAGGAATGCAGGACATAGGATGAGAAGGTCTCTCTCTCTCTCTCCTTTTTTTTTTTTTTTACTCTGTAGGGCATCCCTGAGTGGACAGTAGGGAAGAGGAGGAGAGAAACAGGCAAACTTCCATTCTTTAAAAAACAATTCCCTTGAAGCAGCACAAAATAGACAATAATGCTAATAATGAAAAAGGGACACTGTGAAATGTTGCCTGAATTGTGTTTCTTAGGCTGATGTTTCACTAGGGTCCTGTGGACCTACCACCAGGATGTCTGTGCAGGGGAGGCAAACGAGATGCCAGGGAATGTTCTCGTAAACTGCAAACGGCCATTTGAAAGGGACACAGTGGTAATTACTGTTTGTTCTTAGAATCGCTGTATCCCTGTACCAGTCAAGGTACATCATGTATAACTACAGGAGCTGAGAGAACTATGTTTTAGAAAGATTATATACAATTATATACATTTCTCTATGTGTATGCAAGGCAGGAGGAAAGAAATTCACAGAACAATGGGTGATTATCTGCGGATGATGGGGTTATAAATGCCTTGGGTTTTCGTTTTTATATTTTGCCATATTCTCCAAGGATTCTGCAGTGAGCACTCTACGTTTGACAATAAGGAAAACACTAATGCTGTTCAAAACCTGAACCACACGTAGTAATCAACAGCAGAAACCACATCTCCTGGGTTCTGGTTTGCCCCCTGAGGCATGCTGACATTCACAAAATTTCCTATGTTTCTATTTGCTTGTCATTTGTTTTAAATTTGATAATGTCAAAGTTAAAGGTCATGAACTAGAATATTTGTAAATAAATATAAAATAAAAGGGGTAAGAGCTCAACAGTGAGTCAATTGGAATTAATTACAAATGAAGACTATGTTTCCTTACCTTTGTAAATGAAATGGCAAGTCATCTGTAGTCAGTCATGATGGGTGACCTATTCATTGTTGAAACTGTTTTCCTTCCCAAGTTCCTGTTAAAATAGAAATTCCTGGTTATTACTTATTCACCTCTCTACCCCCGCTCCCAAAACCCATCAGAGCTGCCTACGGGGATAATACAATGCAGCCAGTTGAAGCTGAAATAAAGGAAGGACCTAATGCTAAAAATGAAGCCAGAAAGGTATTAGAAGACAATACAGGGGAATACATGTGTAATTTCAGGCTGGTTGTCCTACCAAGTAAGACAGTAAATCCATAACCCCTAAAGGAACAATGAGCAAATCTGACCCTATAAAAATTTAAAATGTCTACATGACAAGATGCCATAAATAAAGCCAAAAAATGAACAATAGTTTGCAGCTCAAATGACAGGAGATGCTACAAATTGATTATAAAAGATTATAGAAGAAACAAGACAAACCACGTAGTATAAAAATAAGCAGAGGACATGAACTGGAAATACATTTCACCAATAAGCCTGTGAAAAGGATAAGCCCCATCAGCGGTAAGGGAACAGGAATTAAAATGACTGAGATGCTATTATCTGCCCATTGGGTTGGCAAACGTTTCAAAGATGGCGGACATCCAAGGCTGATAAGTATGATAATAAGCAGGTACGTTTCCTACACCATTGGAATGACGCTTTTGCCTTTTAATAGAAAGGAATGTAACAATGAATTGTCCTTCAAATAGTTAATGTACTTACCAAGTTTGGCTCAAATTCTAAGATTCTTTCCCAGAGAAATACAAGTACTAGAACTTCAAAGACATGTGGGTAAGGGTGTTTATTCCTGCTTGGGTTATGATAATATGATTAGAATTCTATCATATCCTCCTACATTTCTTTCTGGTTTTTGCTTTAAAATTTCCATAACAATGCTGGCCAGTGTATAACGTATGTATAACAGTGTCCTTGTGAAATGTATTCTTTGTTTTTAGAAGTATCTTTTCTTTACTTATTTAATAATTTTACTTTTGGGTTCCACTGTGGTTGACATACACCACTTCTGTTTTCCTTTTTTTCTTTTTTTGAGATTTTATTTTATTTATTTGCCAGAGAGAAAGAGAGAGCACAAGCAGGAGAAGCAGCTGGCAAAGGGAGAAGCAGGCTCCCTGCTGAGCTGGGAGCCCAATGTGGGACTCAATCCAAGGACCCTGGGATCATGACCTGAGCCAAAGGCAGACGCTTAACCAAGGGACCCACCCAGGCGTCCCTCTGTTTTCCTTTTATTTGCATATACTTGGCATTTGCAAATAATGCATATCCTTGTCCATTTAACTTTTTTAGTTGTCATTTTGTTTTATCTGTGTTCCTTACAAATAATTTAAAACCAGATTTTCATTTTGTTTTTGCCAATTTAAGACTCTGTCATTTGAAAGGGGATTTCAACAAATTCACATCTATTGTGTTATGATTTTTTTTTTAAAGATTTTATTTATTTAAGAGAGAGAGAGACAGAGAGAGAGAAAGCGAGCACAGGAGCAAGGAGAGGGGCAGAGGGAAAGGGAGAAGCAGGCTCCCTGCCAAGCAGAGAACCTGATGTGGGGCTCGATCCCAGGACCCTGGGACCATGACCTGAGCCGATGGCAGACGCTTAACCAATTGAGCCACCCAGGCTCCCCACTATGTTATGATTACATTCGGTTTGCTCCTATCTTGTTTACTAGTAACTACAATTTACTGTAACATTTATTTTCACCCATTTCTTCTGTGCTGGATGAACCAAATCATAATTCCATTCTTTTTCCTCCTAGTAATGAAAACATTTTATTCCATGTCTATCTGCTTTATTATCATTCTATTTTTAAATCATTAAGAAAATCTATGCTTTCCTTTCAACTCCGTCAGTCTGCCTCTGTGGAGAGCCACCTTCCCCGGGCGATGGCCTCTGTGGGGTAGCCCACATCCCGTGACTGAACGATGAGGCAGCTCCTGGCCAAGCTGGACAGGCTTCATGGGTCCTTCACAGGAGCCTGACTTCTCCCTCTGCTTGCCCAGCTGCACTCCCTCCCCTTCTCCTTCCACAGATTCTGTATGTCTCCACAGGTGTGCCTCAACACGGCAGAAATTTATTCTCTCACAGTTCTGGAAGCTGGAAGTCCAAAGTGAAGGTTGTCAGCAGGGCCACGCTCCCCCTTTGGGTAAAATCCTTCCCTGCTTCTTCCTGCTTCTGGCGGTGACCATTGAGCCTCCGTGTCCCTTGGCTGTGGCTGCATGCGTCCTGTCGTCAGACTGTGTTCTCCCCATGTGTCCCTGTCTTCACACAGCATTTTCCTCTCCTTATGAGGACAGCAGTCACACTGCATGAGGGCCCAGCCTCGTGATCTCATCTGAACCTCGTGACATTGGTAAAGGCTCCATGTCCAAGTAAGGCCACATTCGCAGGTACCAGGGGTTAGGACTTTAACATATATTTTTTGTGGGACACAATTCAACACAGGTGTGGACCTCTACTAAGTATCTTATACCCGAAACTGTTTCATGGCCTGTTTCCAGAGAAACCAACCCATGACCTCTCCTCTCTTCCCCATCCACAGGAGGTACTTTAAAATATTTTTACTTTCTCACTGTTTCACTTTTAACTATGAAACACCTCCCCTTAATTCACAGGGCTCTTCTGTTGGAAGGATTCTTCAGGAAAAAGTTATAGTTCATGTCACATTCTCATCATTTCTTTAGATTCGATCATTACAAGGTTCCTTGCTCATCCTTGTTTCTCTGGCTCTCCGTCTTCCCCTACCGTGACACACCTCTTTCTGACTCAACTTCATTTGGTTGGGACACTTCCTAATTTCCTCAGCAGTGGCACCCTGATGGCCAACTTTGAGTCACTCCATGTCCAGACAGGTCTTTCTTTGGGCCTCCTATATGACTAGATCTCATATAGATCTTGGCTGGTTACTGGCTTCTTAGCTCGGTCCTTTTCCTTCAGTTTCCTATAAATACAACACTGCTGTGCTCCTGCCTCCTGGCTCACAGGGGAGTCGTTTACGCTAGTCTGACGCCCCGGCCTTGGTAACTTACTGGTTTCCTCGTCTAGAAACACCTATGAGAGTTTCTTCTTTCTCTTTTTTTAATGGAAACATAATTAACACAGTGTTTGTTGTAATAGTTTCAGGTTTTTAGTATAACTTAACACTTCATTATATTTCTCAGTGCTCATCAAGGTAAGTAGACCCTTAATCCCTTTAACTACTTCTCCCACCCCCCACCCACCTCCCCCCTGGGAGCCACCAGTTTGGTTTCTGTATTAGGAGTCTATTTTTTTTTTTTTGTCTGTTTCTTTGTGTATGCGTGTGTCCATTGGTTTTGTTTCTTAAATTCCACCCATGAATGGAATCACAAGGCATTTATCTTTGTCTGTCTGACATATTTTGCTTAGTATGATACCCTCTAGACCCATCCATGTTGTTGCAGATGGAAGATCTCCTCATTTTTAGGCTGAGTAAGAATCCATTATATAAATATACCACATCTTCTTGATCCACTATTTATCAGTGGACACTTGGGTTGATTCTGTATCGTAAACAGTGCTCCAACAGACAATGGGGTGTGTATATCTTTTCAAATTAGTGTTTTTGTTTTCTGTGGGTAAATATCCAACAGCAGGATTACTGAATCATATGGTAATTCTGTTTTTAATTTTTTGAGAAACCTCCGTACTGTTTTCCACAGGGTCTGCAACCAGCTTGCATTCCCACCAATGGAACATGAGGGTTCCTTCTTCTCCACATCTTTGCCAACATTTGTTATTTCTTGTGTTTTGGATACTAGCCATTCAGACAGGTGTGAGGTGATGCCTCATTGTGGTTTTTTGATTTGCATTTCTCTGACAAAGAGTGATGTCTGTTGGCCATCTGTACATCTCCTTTGGAAAAATGTCTATTCAGTTGCTCTGCCCATTTTTAAATTGGATATTGGGGTTCTATGTGTGTTGGGCTGTATAAGTTCTTTACATATTTTGGATATTAACCCTTTACTGTATATATCACTGGCAAATATCTTCTCCCATTCAGTAAGTTGCCTTTTTGTTTTGTTGATGGTTTCCCTTACAAAAGGTGCAAAAGCTTTTTATTTTGGTGTAGTCCCAATGGTTTAATTTTTCTTTTGTTCCTTTTGCCTCAAGACACAGGTCCAGAAAAACGTTTCTATGGATCACTACCTGATAGGGGTTTTATGGTTTCAGGTCTCACATTGAGGTCTTTAACCCACTTTGAGTGTATTTTTGCATATGCTGTAAGGAAGCGGTCCAGTTTCATTTTTTTCATGTGGCTGTCCAGTTTTCCCAACACCATTTGTGGAAGAGACGGTCTTTTCCCCATTGCATGTTCTTGTCTCCTCTGTTGTAAATCAACTGACCACATAAGTGAAGGTTGCCTTCTAGGCTCTCTGCTCTGTTGCATTGATCTAAGTGTCTGTTTTCCCGCCAGGACCATACTGTTTTGATTACTGCAGCTTTGTAGTCGATCTGGAAATCTGGGATTGTGACGCCTCCAGCTACGTTCTTCTTTCTGAAGACTGCTTTGGCTGTTTGGGGTCTTACGCGGTTCCACACAAACTTCAGGATTTTGTTCTATTCTGTGAAAAATGTTGCTGGTATTTTGATAGGGATTGCATTAACTCTGCAGACGGCTTGGGCAGTACAGACACTTTGACAATATGGATTCCTCCAAGCCATGAGCATGGAACAGGTCTCCATGTGTTTGTGTCACCTTCACATTTTCTCATCAGTGTTTTATAGTTTTTGGAATACAGGTCTTTCTCCTCTTTGGTTAAGTTTATGCCAATGTATTTTATTGCTTTTGGTGCAACTGTAAATGGAATTGTTTTCTTAAAATGAGAGTTTCCTCTTTTAACACAGAGTGCAAAAATTCCATAAGGATAGATGTATCTTTTTTCACTAATCCGGCCAAGTAAAGGGAAACTGACAAGAAGATATTACATCGAGGGCCAATGACTTGACTTAAACCATGAATAATATTTAGGTTATCTAAATGAGGTATGAATGGACTGCATACCCTTCAGGCAATC